CTTTGGGCCAATCACCAGGAGAGAGTGAGTTCTAGTTTGGTCTTAGAGATGAAAGCTGGATGGGTGACTTTGGGCCAATCACCAGGAGACTGGGAGTTCTAGTCCCACCTTAGGTATGAAAGCCAGCTGGGTGACTTTGGGCCAATCACCAGGAGATGGTGAGTTCTAGTTCAGTCTTAGAGATGAAAACTGGATGGGTGACTTTGGGCCAATCACCAGGAGACGGTGAGTTCTAGTTTGGTCTTAGCTATGAAAACCAGGTGGGCAACTTTGGGCCAATCACCAGGAGACTGGGAGTTTCAGTCCTGCCTTAAGCAAGCAAGCCAGCTGGGTGACATTGGGCCACTCATTCTCAGCCCAAGTCCGCTTCACAGGGTGGTTGTTGTGGGGAAAATAGGAGGAAAGTTTGCTGGATTCATTCGCCGGCCCAAGTTATTAAAAAGTAATAAACATGGGATATGAATTAATGAATTGAGTTAGTTAGTTATTTACTTTGTTATTTCGTTAGTTAATTACTTACTTAGTTTGTTATTTAGTTATTTAATTTAGTTATTTACTTTGTTAGTTATTTACTTAGTTTATTTAGTTATTTAGTTAGTTATTTACTTTGTTTAGTTATTTACTTAGTTCATTTCTTATTTAGTTATTTACTTTGTTATTTAGTTATTTATTCGTTAGTTTCAGAATGAAATCAATGCTGCTAGTTCAACAGCTCCCGGAATGTACCTTGGCTCTCTCAGACCAATGGAAGGATGCAACGGTGACGTCGAAACGGGTCAGCATCATGTGTCTTCGGCACTGGTATTCGGCCCCCAGGACTTGCTTGATCTGGTCCAGGGCTTTCTGGTATTTTTAAGGAGAGCGAAAAGGGGAAGCAGAGATGTTTAAGGTCCATCAGCGCCAAACCAGAAAGCCCACCCGCCTTCTCCTCTCCTGCCATCTCTAGTGGCCCTCCTACCCATTGCTCGGAGGTCAGCGGGGCCTTCAGGAGCGGTGCTGTCCACTGGGGCTCAAGCCCCTGTGCGGCGGCGAGAGCCTCCGAAACCTGAAGGAAGCAAGGAGTTAGCTTTCGTAGCTTGGCGAAGAGAAAGAGGCAGATAATACCACCGTTATTAACCCAATAGTACCGCTTGATAAAGCCTTGGTTAAGACCACACTTGGAATACTGCATCCAGCTGTGGTCGCCACGAGGTAAAAGACTCTAGATCGGGGTGTCGGCAACCAGCGGCTCCGGAGCCGCATGCAGCTCTTTGGGCCCTGTGCTGCAGCTCCCTCGCCCTCCCTTGCCTGGCCTGAGAAGATCTAGAGCAGTGATGGTGATCCTTTTTGTTGTGGTGCGCCAAAAGCATGCGAGTGCCGGCACCCACAATGCGCTGCAGCCTGCCCCCCCCCACGCATGTGCACGCAACCCCTCCCACCCCCTTACCTGCACTGCCTCCCCGCTGATTTTCGGCCTGTTTGAGACCTGTTCGCCCTCCCGGAGGCTCGAGGGAAGCCTCTGCAGCCTCGGGAGGCCGAAAAGTGGGCCTTCTGGAAATACCGGAAGTGCCCGTTTTCAGCCTCCTGAGGCTCCCGAGGCTTCACTTGAGCCTCTGGGAGGGTGAAAACAACCTCCCCCGAGCTCCAGAGGCCCTCCGGAGGTTGAAAACAGGCCCGTTTCGGCACTTCCGGAAGGCCCGTTTCTTGGCCTCCCCCTCGAGCCTCCAGGAGGGCGAAAAAGGCCTCAAACCGGATGAAAATCAGCTGGGAGGTGCATGTATGCGTAGTGCGGGTAAGTCTGGCTGGGGCTTGCGTGTCCACACAAATGGCTCTGTATGCCACCTGTGCCATCGGTTCACCATCACGGATCTAGAGTCCTTGGAGGAATTAGTAATTCAAAAAATTCTATATTGTGCTAAAATGGATAAACTGATGTTAAAATTAAAAGATAAAGAAGAGTTGGAGTATTACAAAATTTGAGATAATTGGTATAAATGGTTGAACAATAGAAATAAGGATAAAGGAGATAAAAAATTATAAATGTATATGAATGTACTGTACATAAAGGTATATAAATGTAGATATTTACATGAGGTTGGTTTTTATAATAATAATGACACAGTACTGTTAATATTAAGATCAATATGTGTAAAAGGTGAAAAAGAACAACAGAAATTATTGCAAACAAAATAACGGTTGCTGGAACTGGATACGTCTAATCTTATGAAAAGGAGGAGTAGGGGTGACATGATAGCAGTGCCCCAATATTTGAGGGGCTGCCCCAAAGAAGAGGAGGGGGTCAAGCTATTCTCCAAAACACCTGTTGTGGTTAGCCTGCAGCAGGTGCAGACGGCTGAGGAGAGCGAGGACTCAGGTGAGGGGCCAGGACCGTCAGGGAATGGACTGCTGCCTTCAGAGATTGTGGGGCCTGGCAGCAATGATGAGGAGGTTCCCGAGGAGCCTGTGCCAAGTGTGCGTGCGTGCAGAATTGCTCGTAGGAAAGAGCAGCTACAACAGCAGGGGCGACTCAGGAGTAAGGCTGCAAGGTAATGGCCCCTCCTTCAAGGAGATAAAAGCCAGCTGTGAAAGGAACGCACTTTGCAGAAAGCAAAAACGTTTCGAAACTCCAGCCTCGTGGACATTCCAGTATCCTGAATTTGTATTTGAAGATTCTTGTATTGCAATTTATTTCTAGTCTGTTATCTTCTGGCAAGTCTCTCACAGTTTGGCAAGGCTTGTGCTTATCACAGCTAATTATTTTGTAAAAGCATAACAAGGTTTCTGTTCCTTTTGAATTGTGTTTGATTTGTCGGAAAAGGGCGTGGGTCAGAACAGCACCTGAAGGCAGGATAAAGACACACCCTCTTCTTCAAAACCTCCAGGGGTAGAGCATCCACAACTCCTGGAGGCAAGTCGTTCCATCGGTTTTCCGTGCCATTGTAACTTCAGTCGCTAAACGAATGTTTGCAATTCGGGAGTTATGTCCCCTCCCACCCTCTCTCGTCCTGGCAAGCAGCTGGGCCTCTTTAAGCTTTTCCACACTGAAAAAGGAGGCTGAAATATTCCTCCCAGTAGCCTACCTGCCCAGCCCAGGTTTGCCTGCCCTTCGGGTCTCACCTGGGATCCAATGTCATCCATAACCAGAGCCACAGGGGAAGCCGGGTCTGGCTCAGGCATCCCCAGGGCTTGGCAGATCTGATGAAGTTCTCGCACTGCTTCGTTATTTTTGTCGTCTTGCTTTGCTGATTGGAGCGTTTTCCTGGCCTGGAGCCGGGCAGCCATCAGCTCCGAGCTCAAAAAATCTGGGATGGATGGAAGGAAGGAAGGGAGGGATGGGGGGGGGGGGGGAGGGGGGAGAAAAAGGAACATTTTGCTGCTTCTTAGTATGTTCCCCACACCCCCGTTGCATGTTTAAATATGTTCGAGGCTATGTTTTTTTCCCCCACTTGCAATGTATGGCTGTGAAAGCTGGATCATAAGGAAGGCCGAGCGCCAAAGAATGGAGGCCTTTGAACTCTGGGGCTGGAGAAAGAGATTCCTGCGAGACCCTTGGACTGCAAGGCCATCCAACCGGTCAGTCCTAGAGGAGATCAACCCTGGCTGCTCTTTAGAAGGCCAGATCCTGAAACTCAAAGACTTTGGCCACCTAATCAGAAGGAAGAGGAAGGAGGAAGAGGAGGAAGGAGGAGGAAGACAGGAGGAGGAGGAGGAGGAGGAGGAGGAAGAGGAGGAGGAGGAGGAGGAGGAGGAGGAGGAGGAGGAGGAGGAGGATAATAATAATAATAATAATAATAATATTTCATTATCCAACTGGGTAACATTATCATTGCTAGAAGAATGTGGGGTCTGAGGAGGAGGAGGAGGGTTGCTGTTCACAAGCCACGATTAAGCTAGCTATGGTGTTAGTGTGATGCTCCAATTCTCTCTCTACTTACAGAGAAGCTGCAGGCAGCGATCTTGGGTGCTGAGTCTAGCCATGACGTCCCCTGTGGTCAGTGAAGGATACGGGCAATGCAGCTCACTCAGGAGGCCACTTATTTCAATCTGAAATGTCTCGGCATCCTCAGGTCCTGATAGGATGAAATGGCTTAGAGTTGTTTAGGATCAGAATGATTTAATTGAAAAAAAGAAAAAGAGGTTTCTATCATCTCCCCTTTAGCCTCTGCTCACGTTTAATCTTTCTGAGTTGCTCGTTTCTAGCTCCTTGTCTTCCATTCCATTCCCCTTCCTTCCCTTTCCCTTCCCTTCTTCCTTCCCTTCTTCCTTCCTTCCCTTCCTTCCTTTCTTCCCTTCCCCTTCCTTCCCTTTCCTTCCTTCTCCTTCCTTTTCCCTTTCCTTCCTTCCTTCCTTCCTTCCTTTCCTTCCTTCCTTCCTTCCTTTTCCTTCCTTCCTACCTTCCTTCCTTCCTACCTTCCTTCCTTCCTTCCTTTCCTTCCTTCCTACCTTCCTTCCTTCCTTTTCTTCCCTTCCCCTTCCATCCCTTTCCTTCCTTCCATTTCCCTTCCCTTCTTC